ATCACTATATCCCAGCATCTAGAATTTAGCCTGATATAGAGTGGAAAGGGAGTACATATTTGCTCAATGAATAAATGGAAAACTTTTGGACAGCAGTGGTCAATTGAGATCTCAAAGGTCATAATCCTACATAATACTCCCAATGGCCCTCTGAGAAAGATATAGATTTTTATTATCCCCAGGTTATAGGAAACAGATGCACAATGATTGATTTCCTGCAAATTACAGAGCTGGTTGAGTGGCAGATATTGATTAGAACTAATTCTCTAGGTTAGGACTTGGTTCTCAGTATGATCTTAGCAGCATTTCCTGGTTTCCCCATTGCCTCATGGAACCCAAAGGTCATTCATTGTGCTCTTTATTACTTCATTGTTTATTAAGGTTTTTTTTCTTTTTTTCGTATTTAGAATTAAAAATACATGGACTCAGAATTTATTGTGAAATGGTGCATATTAATTCTTCCTCTTTCTCCTCACTTCCTTTCTTCTTTCCTGTCAGTAGTTGTTATATATTAAAAGAATTTCTTTGGTGAAATTTTGAGTTTTGTAGAAAATACGGTAAAAATGGAACTTCAGTTCCTGTGATCCATAGAATAAAGTCTGAATCTTTGAGGCTTTTTTCCTTTGGAAAGTCTCAGGACTTTTCGAACACTTTCAAACATATCTTCAAACAAAACTGGCTTCTATTCGAGTAGCACAAGATTTGGCACACCTGCCTTCCTCTCTCATGTCCATATCCCAGTTTTTATGCACACTAGCTTTCATCAATGCAAAACTGGCTAATGAAAGGACCAAGGCTTGCCAACTCAGGAAGTCAAACAGCACCAAGGGTCTTACTGTGAGTTTCCAGTGCAGTGATGTCCTCCTGGGCAGTATCCAAGGAGCAGAACAAGTCACTTCTCAGCAGGTGCCTTTCACAGTCATGTTTTGATTGCTTATTTCCAGCTTGCTTTTGTGTCTGCCTCACAGCCTCATTCCAGGTGGGAAAGAGTGTCAACCTGGGGTATTATTTAGGGTGAGACCTGCAACTTGGCTCTTGTTCAGTGTGAACTAAGGTGCCCTACTGTTCCACATCAGGTTGGTGTCCTACTGCTCTGAATACCTTGCAGGGTGGCCACTATCACTCCAAGACCACATTACTGAGTACTTGAGTTTATCTAGTCACAGCCCTGCTCCAGGCCAATTCATGACTCTGATGGTCACAGCAAACATGTCTCACTATAAACTGGAAGGACTACTAAAATGGGACATTGGTTTTATCAACCCAGGCTTCTACGTTACAGACAAGAAAATGTGTTAAGAAATTTGGATAAATTTCATGTCTGAAATAATTCCTTTCCTCATAAAATATTTATGTTTAAAGATGTACTAAACCATAGCAAGATTTCAATTGAATTTATACTCCTGGCTTTCCTTAAGAGATCCTGTTTTTCCACCTAGTGGTTAGTTGACTCCCTTTGTTCCCCATTCAAGTGTTCCTTTATCCAGTCTGTGTGCAACAAGTATTTCATGAACACAAATGTACTGGCTACTGAGGATACAGGTAGAAAAGACAGAATGGGCTTCTACCCTTGTTGGAAGTAGAAATGCATAGCAGAGAATTAGAAATAAAATTAATAGCTCCATTCTAATTTTGGAAAAAGCAGTGAGAAGTACAAGATAAGCATCTGTGCATGGAGTTCTTGAAGGTTTTCCTGAAGAAGTGAAACTGAACTAAGATCATAGGGATGAGTAGATGTTGGCTCTGTAAAGTTGAGATAGTGAGAGGAAAAATATGCAGCAGAGGCAACGTGTGTAGAGGCTGAGCTAGAAAGACAAAAGGCAGCACCATGAAGAAGTGAGGCTTGCTCTTGTCAAATGACACACTTATGCATCTCACTGAAGTTTTACTTGTCAGCAATTATGCATAAATCACCTTGCCCTGGGCTGACGTACAACAGTGAGTAGAGATTCCACTCCCTCACTACTAATACTTCAGTGGCAATGGGAACCCCAAAGGTATATGCTCCAGTAAGGGAAGGAGAGCTTCTAATGCAAACTACGAAGTCAGCAAACTAGAACTAATGTTAAAACTGGCGCTTGAAGCGTGGGAGGAAGTGAGAAGATGGAGCAGTAATGGAAGTATGGGGTTGACAAAGAGGACTAGGTTTCAGGTCAAAGACTAGACAGAAAAAAAAAGGTAAGACCCATTGGGGAATAAAAATAAGTACAAATATGAAGACTGAAGTAAAAGGAGGTGATTTAATTGTTTCTGTGTTTTATCCCTTACATAAAAGAGTCAGATCAGGTCTTTGCTAGATCATAGGTTTCATGATACTATTTTAAATTCTGCACATATGCCAGGTCAAAATTGAGAATTTGTTAATAAGTTTTTGAGGCCACAGAGATAAGCAATGATAAGCTCCTTTAGTCTGCCAGTTAAATAAAAGTCAGAAAAAAAAGGTGGCTTTGATTGGAGGCGATATTACTGACCTGATTTTCTTTATTTGGAAAAATTCAAACAGTTATGTGAAAAATCAAAATGATCTCATTGTAAATGCAAATTCTTCCATCTTTCCATTGAGTTTTACTAAAGACTTCTCATATTTCCATTTCGAGGCCGTGTTAGGATGATGTGCCAATTGTGTCAGAAGAATAAATTGATTGGCATTGTGCAGATTAGTTGGGCAAGTGGTTGATTGCCTGGCACTGGGCAAGTTGTTAATTAGTGAAGAAAAATGAAATGTCAGGCCCAGGTAACAGAGAGGCTCTTCTCTTGCCTTTGCCAAGTTGAATTTGGAAAGTGTTTAATGAGATGGACAACCAACATTAGCTAGATCAAGTAGTGCACAATATTCAAAATAATTTCAAGTTTTATAAAATAAATGTACACAAAACAGCCGATTCGTATATCATCCATTCAGACTTAAATATAAAATAGGGTCATGTTAGCTAAACTATGAAAATACTGCATCAAGTACCCATTCTACTACAAATCTCCAAGGGTTGCTCAGTAAGGCACATGAAGAAATTGAGACAAGGAAAACTGGAGTTAGGATCCCAGTTGATATTCTAGATTGTTCCCTGAAGATACGATCTTAATGTGCAGCTATTGCTTAAAATGTCAATCGATGACTGGATACTATTAAAAGTTCAAACACTAAATATTTCTCCAGAAATTAAACAGAATACCTTCTTTGACATTAAGTGTATCTTTGAACTTGGAAATTCTGGTCATTTCACATTTCATAGGCTGATGAAATGAGATATTTATAAAATCAAGCAAAAAAAAAAGAGAATGAAAGATTAAATCTCTTCAGTATAGAAATGGGGAAAGCTGAGGATAGGCCTGAACCGAATGAATGTATTTATGGCCAATAATTAAGCCAGCTTTTAGAAACTGCTGACTCAATTGCATATTGGACACTCTTGAAGCCCAGTAAAGGAAGCTTTGGAAAATTACATTGAACAGAATTACTGCTTTGCCTAGTGTGCAGTGGACTTTGGAAGCTACTTGAAAAGGTGATGAGGAGAATAAATAGGAATGGAAATTTTTCCAGCTCTACTTAGTATGATCTGGGAAGTGTACAGTGTTTCTGATTGGCAGGATTCCTTAGTCAACAATGCTCTAATTCCTGATGGCCATTGTTTTTGTCCCAGTATTCTTCTGTTGCCTACCATATTCAGTGACATGCTCAGTATAAATGTCCTGGTGATGATGAAGAATTTCAATTACACAGAGAAATGTCCCCCTGTTCTTATTCCACTGTCAACTAATGATAACTATGCACCTCTATTGAGCTATTTGTGCTATATTCTGTTCTCAGTGGATTTAGGCAACTCATTTCATTTGGATATTAATCTTGTGGTTGTTTTCATATGCTGTGGTACTATTTGTATGCCCACTCAAAAGTGAGTGATCTGACGCACAAAAACATTAAATTACTTTCCCCAAGTCTCACAGTAGCCTGGTGACGTAACCAGAATTTAAACTCTGGCAATCTGACTTCAGACCCTTTACTTAGCTGGTATGATTCTGCCATCAGTGTGGACCAAATGGGTGAAGCAGCTCAGAAACAACTAGCAGTATCTTCTGGCTTGCTAGCTCAGGGATTCTGACCATTCTTGTCTTTGCAGCCGATGTAAATGTGTTCTCCCCTCTACTGTATCCTCTTATTAGCAAAAGAGAAAAGGCAAGAAGTTTGAGTGGAAAAGGATGGAGCCTTTGGATTTAATTTTTTTTTTAATTTGCTCTTTTTAATTATACATGTCAGTAGAGTATATTTCGACAAATTTATACAAACATGGAGTATGTCTTATTCTACTTAGGATCTCGGTCTTGTTGTTGTATATGATGTGGGATTTAAATTTTCATGATTTTACTTGCCTGGTTTAACTTAGGTTGGCCTCCTCCATTAGCTTCACCAAGACTAGGAGCTCCTTCAGGGAAATACCAGGCAGACTATGTGTGGTTCATGATTGTTCTGTTCTATGTAAATCAGTTGATGACTATGTAAGCAGAGGCCATATTCAGAGTGGAAGCATTTTAGAATCACTATGCTTGGTGGGGGGGGGGATGCTAATGCTCATAAACAGTTCCTAGTCAAAGGAATGAGAGCGCGGAGAGCTTTCTCAGCTAAGCTAAGCTCCTGAAGCTTTTCACTAAGTGGAGGACTGGTTAATTTCCTGAGATAGATGCCTGCATGTAGTGTTTGCTCTCTAAGCAGGACCCCCAAACAATGTTTTCCATACCAAATGGAGGCAACCAACAAGATAACAGGCATTTATAGTTACACCAGGGTAGGCTGTGTTCCTCCTAGCTACTCTCGTGCACACACACACACACACACACACACACTCACACACTTCTGTCCATTTACCAAGAGAACTGCCAAAAGTAAGCACCTTGTCTTATTAATTTTATCTTTTAATTTCTGACCGATTATAAGAAAAGTGGCTTTCCCTTCCCTTAAGGAGTAGTAGCTTGATGGCTTATTTCTCTCTTTCTCTTTTGAATCACAGCAGAATCTAAGAAGAAGAAAAAGGAAGGCAAGAAACAGGAGAAGATGCTGGACTAGATGATCCCACCTTCTGAGGAACAGGAAAAGGACATCAGCAGCCGGAATCAGTTAACTATTGCATTTATACCTACTGTAGGCTTTTTATTCAAAAAATATCTATAGCTTAAGTACACAATAGGCAAAATGATGAGGAAAGAAATTTTTGTAGTAGCATTTTTTAAAATATATACCATAGTACCACTAGGGGCTTATAATAAAGGACTGTAATCCCATTTAGAAAGTTGACTTATAGTACATGGTAAATGATAGACACTTGAGGTAAGGTTTTTGAAGTTATGCGATATTTCACATTTACTTTTTTTTTTTTTTACTTTTTTTTGGCCGCAATATAAATGTTGTGAACATGTAAACTACGTATCTTTCTAGATATTTTTTTTCACCTAGACTTTTCTTTTTTTCCCAAATTGAAAAAAGTACATACTAAACAAAGCAGCAATAAAATATAATCACTCCATTTGAGGAAAATAGCTTGTTCTCTGCCATTGGATTCTTTTTTAAAAAGTAAGTCAGCAAAATGAGGGAGGGAGAGAGGCAGAACCATGCCCTAGTGCAATGCTGTTGTTTTCTAATTAAAATATTAAAACATGATTTTTTTTTCATTTTGGCAGAAACAGATGTTTTCTTGATGAAATTATTTTTCCATCTGAGGAAAAAATACTAGAAAAATAAATCAAGGTGATGCTGAATAAAAGGTGCTTTTGTGTGCAATAATTTGATTTTGTGGCTCTCCTTCTGTCACCTTCATTCTTCAGTGCAACTTTAGTGAGAATTCATTCAAATTAGTTACATCACTATGGGCACAAATGTGACACATGTTTTTGCTACTTTCTTCAGTTCAAGCATCACTAAATCCAAAATCCAAAATCTGAAACGTTCCAAATCCCAAAAATTTGGATTACAAATCTGACACCACACATGGAAATTTCCATCCCTGACTTCATGTGATGTGTTTCAGTCAAAATGCAGGTGCACAAAAAATATTGCAGAGAGTCAGTGTGTACAGCCTCTACTACTGTGTACAGCCTACTACTCTGTAAGGGAAGGGAAAGCCACTTTTCTTATAACCTTCAGCCTGTGTGTACAGTGTATAGGAAACATAAATAAGTATGGGTTGCATCCCATCCCCAAGTTGCTCCTCCGTCATCATTTAGCCAAACAGCCCATGAACCAGGAAAGAGTTAAGGTGAACTAGAACAAAATATCCCAAGGGAATCACAGTCCAAAATCCTTAAACATTTGAAATCCAAACACTTCTCGTCCAAAGCATTTCAGATAAGGGAGACTCAACTTGTATTAGTTATTAATAGGTTCAACTGATGCTACCGAGATCAACAAAAATTACACAATAGTCTAGGAAAGTGGAACACTAAAAGGCTCTTATTGTATTAAGTTTGGGCCAGCACAGTATAAATCAAGATCTGAACACTGAAATACAGAATGATAGTTTGTACTTAGTTTCCATAAACCAAAGCTTTCATTCCCCTTTCTTTCTTTCTTTAATTCTTTAACCAGTGAAAAAGACTATTTGTGCAACTCTTATCTGCTGGACTCTACAAAGAGTTTTTAAGTAAACAAGTCTTTGCTTCTACTATTCAGAGTCTAGGACAACTGGTTGAGATTAGCTTTAAATATTTATCTTGACATAGTGGCTGCTAATTCCAATGTGATAACTCAATGAACAAATGTCATCTACCAAGATGATTTAAGCCCATTTTCAGAAATGACAGCTTCCACATACCCTGGGCTCGCCATTCATTACATACTGGTCTGATGATGCAGCCAAAGGGTCTTGGCAGCTCAGCGGCTTTGGCCATCTAGTCTAAAACTCTCTGAGCTAGGAATGCTGATGGGGTCCATTTCTCCCACTAAGTCAAAGCCAGCTGCCAGAATAGAAACAGGACAAGCTTCCAGGCGTCTTATGGATGGGTGCTTCATACAAACAAAGTACCTTGTAAAGTGCAAATGACAAAAACATGAATAGTAAATACAGTCCTTTTACAAGCTGACCTGAATAAAAAAAAAAGTACTTACAGGGATGGATGGAAAAGACGAAAAAAGGCAGCATCTTAAATGTGTTTTTTTTTTTTTTTTTACAGCAAGTTTCCAGAAGGGTGGAATGATGGTTGCAGCAAATTTTGTTAGACTTTTGTTAGTTAACATTGCCCCTTCATCATCATTTAGCCAAAACCACGAATCAGTAATGAGATCAGGTGAACTAGAAAAAAATCTCCCAAGGGAAAAAGAGTCCTGTAAATAACTGTGGCATACTCCTTTATTGCAGGGCATGGCAGGAAGCCAAAAGGGCACAGTGTCTCTGCTGTGTCAGCTACCATTCCTAGCAAACCCCATAACAATGCCCCGATTCTCCATTAAAATAGGGTTGAGATGCAAATCTTCTTGGCACAGGGTATGAAATTCAACATGCCCAAAGTCCTGAGAATTATTCTACCCAGCCTCAGCTTCGAACACCTCATTAAATCACACCAAGGCACTGAAACATAAATATAAAGGAACCAGCTCCCCAAATCACTGATTCTCACAATTGAGAGCGGGGTAGAAGAGATTGTCTCTAGCAATTCATAGAGTCTCTTTCCAAATGTTCTTGGCTTATGAATGTTACCGTGAAGTTCGTTAAACCTTGAAGATGGTAAGGAAAATGTGAAGAAGTCATGTAGATTTCTTCAGACTTTAAGTGAAGATAAGCTCTTCCTATAGTCATTGGAAGGGTGTAAAACACTTTCACCAAAAACCTAGTGAAAACAACCTTCCAGTGACCAGGGAGTGTCCTTATTCAGCTTAGCATTGGTATCCCTGAGAATTCCCCCTGTATCCTGCAAGTATGGATGATGTCACCCTCATTTGTGGGAAGATTGTGAAAAAGAGGATGTTGCAGGAAGGTTTGTGACTCGACATACTCCTGGAAAAACCTCCTTATATCCTATTAGCTCTATTGGAGTGTAACTCCAAGGGACTCCAATGCTCTGAATATTTATCAAAGGAGGATTGCTAAACTGGGTGGGTGGGAAGACATGGGCATAAAAGAGTTAAATGATTTCATGTGAGTGTAATAAATTGTGAGAAAAGAAAGGCTGTGTGTCCTTTACCTATTGAAGGGACAGATATTTCTTTAGGAATAAGAGGTATTTTTTCCCATAACATCTAACCCATAATTCTGCAAATCTAAAACTAATTGTTCTCTAACTTCTTCAAATAAAGAACAGAGATCAAAATAATTTTGCAAACAGAGAGAATAGAAACCAGTATCTTCCACAAATTGAACAATTTAAAAGTAGTTCCTATACATAATAATTAGAATGTTATCAACCTTTAGTTATAGGTTTTTCTAATGAAGAAAAGTAAGGACTTTTCCTCCCATTAATCCTCTCCCAAAAGAATAAGGCAGATCAACATTCTTAGATTAGGATATCACAGCATTCAATGCACTTTTTAAAAAGTTACATTTATTTGCATGAGGAGAAGTGAGCATAATGTTATTCTAAGCATCCAGGAAGTAATGCCTACTTCAAACTTATGTAGATTCTAGTTCTTCTAGAAATAAAAGATGTGGAGCATCTTCATCATAGAAAACACATCATTCTCTTAGAAATCCACCCTCCTGCTACTTTTCTATCCTTCACTCTTTCAGGAAAGGCACCAAAAGCAAGTACAAATGCTGTATCCTACTGGAGTCACAAGGAATCCAGTGTAATTCAGGAGTATTTCAACTCGAATGGAAGAGGAATGCAGATCTACATGTTAAATTATTTTTATCTAGCAAGAAAAATAATGAACAATGAGAGTATCTAATTTCTGTTAAGTGATTTTTTTAAAAGCATGAAATAGATATACAAGCAAAACAGATACAAAGCACACCCAAATGTAAGAGTCCGGCGAAGTGTCGGAGAAAGAGACCACCAAGAGACCACTCATGCAATTGGCAGAAGGGGATTTATTGAACCAGCATGCTGGGGGCTCCGTGCCCACTCAAGAAAGGAGAGCAGCCCAGAGCCCCGGGCAGGGGTTGAGCAGTGCTTAAGTACACTTTTTGGGGAGGGCGGAAGCTTTGCATACATCAGGGCAAATCATCATGAGGCGCGGGAAAATCAAACAATAATTCTTAGACTTGATTAGTACATTCATTGGCGGGAACAGGCTGGGCAGGGGTGATTGGTCACTTCTAAGTGGGGTACACATTTAAACTGATTGGTTTGGGCCTTGAATGCCTACGTGTCGGGCTACACACAGTCCTAAGTTATTAAACAACCAAATGGCCAGTAGGGCATTGTCTTAACTGCCTCAGGAATCTAACCCAGGCTTTGCAGTTTAGAAGCAGGTTTACAATGCCTGGTCCTTTGCATTTTAACTCAGGCTTTGCGGCTTAGAAACTTTACCCTTTCACAAATACACATTTCTTCTGCTTATATCCATTTCAACTACTATACTGGGTCACTTGTGGATCTGGTTAAAGATGCTATGTGTCTACAGTCTTGCTACATATTTTCCTTTGTTCTTTGAAAGTGTTCATGAAAATCATATCTTATCAAAGAATGGAACATGGAAAAATACCAACACCACCATATCCCTAACCTCCTGGGAAGGAAGGAATGGATGCCTGAGAGGTTGTAGAGATGTGGAAATTGTGTCCATGCATTTGATTTGCTCTTAGTGAAGATAAAAATTTACATAAAGTAAACTAATCACAGAGAATGATCCCCTTTTCGATTGTCAGCTCCATCAAACACAGAGTAAAGCTTAAAATATGTCAGTTTCAGAGATTCTTGGGAGAATCACATGAATGCCTTATTTACTGTGAATGGGCAACCACAGATTGAGATAATAGCAATGAACACCATGAATTTTAGACTTATCATTTCCAATACATATATTTTTAAGATTGCCATTTTTGCCTAATATTCTTTCTGGGAAAAAAAAGTAGGTACCACACTATTTTTTACAAGACCCTGATAAATATAAGTTGAACTTGTCTGAACACAAATTCTTATAACCATGATGTCAGGTTATTATCATTTGCTACCATTTCAGCTATAATTGTGAATATGTTCTCTTGTGCTGCTCATGGATCATAGCATTAAATAGATACCATACTGGGATATAACCTATAACTTGATATGAGGAGAAAATAGCAACAAGTCACCAGGATCAATGTAGCTCCTTTTAAATTTTGTCTCTTCTTAATGAAGATGGAATGAACTACATGCTCCTCTTGAGCTGGGGGATAGTATAATGAAGTGATTATTATATAGAATTACACAACTAAATTTCAGGATTAAGCAACCCATCCTTAGTATTTAAATGCCTTCTAAAAAATCAATAAACTTCCACAAAATGATAAGAACTCTTTAGCTATACACAATATTTGAAAACTCATAAAATTACATACTATATTGAAAAAAGTCTTTGTAACTGATTAAATTCATTATAACATTATCACATTTGAATTACAGGATAAAAGTAAAATTCCTAAAACGCCCTGACTAATCCTCTGCTTTATTCATCCTTTTAATTATGTAATTAAGAATCAATTGAATCACAATTACCTGCATGATGTGACGTTAGACTCTCTAGGAAGAAAACAAATAAAATTTGGAATTCATGGTCTCCAATCTCTTTCATTTATAGATCCTGAATACACAAAGTTTTTCGAAATTAGGAAAAAGCATTAATAATGTAACGTACTAGAATCATAATGA